TCATTGTCCAGCCAGTCAATCTGGCTATCAACCAGCTTCGTCTCCCCCGTCCGACAATCCATCGCCACAAGATCAAACGGGTAAACATGATATAAAACCGAAACCTTCAAATTTGGCATCTGCTTCACTGCCGCATTTGCCCCCTCAATCATCGTATTTATCAGAACTTCCCTCCCACACGGTCCTGCTACCATACACGGCATCGCAGATTTGGCACCAGTTACCTTCTTCAATGGATCATACAAACTCAGATGAAATACAAACTCCTTCCGCGCTGTCGTATGTCGGGCATTGCTACCTATGCTGCCACTGCCAAAAATCTCCGGGCAAATGCGATGCATTCTCACCCTCAACCGTCGCAGGAACGGAACGTACATCCCGATCAGCGAACATATATGCTCCTCCTTCGCCAAGCCCTCCCTGCTATCTGCATCCGCATCCGCATCCACATCCACATCCACATCCACATCCATATCCTCCTTTAAAAAGGCCGATCCGCACGTATCCAGCTCCAGAACCGTCAGGCGCTGTGTTGGAATACTTTTACACAGACGCCCTACGGCGTCCTCGTGCAGGTAATTCTTCATCTGTTCGAACATATGCGCCTGCATGCGACCACGCCTGTCCAACTCGCCCATTGCCTGGAAACGGAATCGGGTCAGCGTCTGCAGCGTGCCGAGCCACTGAGCAAGGCGCATTATATCCGCCCTTGTCTCCTCGGCCCAGAGGGCAAGGATTGTGAACCGTTCCGGGATTCCTTGGTGTGTCGTGGGATCGAGCACTGCTGGCCAGTTCGAGTAACCCGCCAGTTGGACGGAGAGGGATTTTATCCGCGATGCCGTGAGGGTAGTGCAGCCATGTACAGATCCCGATCTTGCTGTTAGATGGGTACATGTGCATGTGCCTGTACTCCCTTGGTGAGGTTGCGGTTGAGATTGCTTTTGCGTAACCATTGAGTGCTGCAGCGCGGGGAATCTCTTCAAGCCGGTGGCGGACAGTTTTATGTTTTCTAGCAGAACCATTGAGGCGATGCTGTACCAGTACTTGCATATAAACAACCCGCCTAGGTTGGCAGCCCTGAGCTCATCGACACCGACATATTGGAGAATCTCAAAGAGGATCTCAGGAGGCAGAGTCGTTAGATAGCCGCCCTCAGTGCTACCACTGCGGTTGTTGGGTGTGGTAACAGCGTTGGTAGTGAGGATCTGGCTGTTGTGATTGCGGTTGCTGACTGTATCCGTCACCAGCATTATTTTTCACGATATGTCCAAGCCTTGCTCTTCCAAAAGGGACTCCTGCTGGTTCATTGGCCGTGGAGTCGACAGTGAATTTAACTACTTAGGTGCAGCGGAAGTTGTGAAGAAAGATGTCGGGTTATTTTCTATGAAAATAAAATTTTGCCTTGCAGGTCATTTATATTAAGCTAAGGAACATCCCAGAAGATGACAATAAACTAGAAAGCAGAGCGCATGAAAAATTGGAAACAGGAGACTATCAATCGGAAAGATCATACGCGCAATCCATAAATGATTCGTTAATTTTCGACCAACTACAATCGATTTCGACTTCCAAAACTTTTTGCTACTTCAGTTCTAGCGTTAGGGTCCATGGATCAGTAATACAACACTGATCATCATCAAGGAAATAAAGCAACCATCCACCGTGCACCAATGGCAAAATAATCCATATACCGTAGCACACGCCAATACATGTGCACTCTCGATTTCACCTGGAGAGAAAACGGACGACAAGGGGTCTCATCCGTCCTGCTGATTGTCTGTGGACTCATGGCACTCTTCGCAAGTAATACCAGCAGACGGATGTGATAATCTACGTATGTTAAGCACGTACATATATGGATATACCAGTGGCGACGCCAGCATTGCCATGGGCGATATGACACCAATTTTACATAAAGACCAGTAAGCCCGTTCCAGCTCCCAGTGTCTAGCCCGTCCATCGGTGCATTTAACTATTTAGCTATGCAAAGCACCCACCGTCGCTTCAGCCGGACTGTGTTGGCTGCCGAGGATGCACTCTACGTATTTAGCGATGGTGTGCGGTTTCAGGTTTAGGAATATCATCCTCATGATAACTGTCATCCGTTCACGTCATCAGAATTCCAAGTCTCGGATTCTGTGTAAAACTTTGGGTAAACCAATTGAGTAGACCAGAGTGGATCATTTGTTGTTTTCTGACGGAGGTCCAGCTCAAAAACGGAACAAGAGAGAGGAGGGGAGAGAGAGAGGGGGGGGGGGGTTTGGAGAGGAAGTGATGGATGATCTGCGGAACATCGGTTAGCATTCCATTTCATGGAGCATTGTTTACATATCCAGCTCCCTTGCTACATTTTGGACTGCAGCTGAAATGCCTTCGAGGCAGGGAGAGAAAAGAGCCTCATCTCTAAGCTGCCAGAACGTGTGGAATGCGTCTGCGCTCAAGGGATAGTAACAGTTGACTTGGGCGGTAGGAGCACAACGATTGAAGTGACGAAATGCGGTGTGTCAGGAGGTCGAACGGCGGCTAGGAGGCCATCGCTAGGATCTCTTTTTGTTTCCCTATTTTCTTGGTGTACTCATGTTCAAGGGGATGCGACTTTCATAGCTTTCAAAATTTTCCCGAGGTTTGTAGAGGCAAACGGGGCTCAACAAGGGTTATCGTTGCTAGCCCTAAAGATTGAGTTCAAAACATATCGAGGCAATAACAGAATTATCCTGTTTGGCTTCTTTTCGAATTCCCTCATGGAGTGCACATTTGGCTGATATTCTGGATGTGGCTTCTGAAACCAAGCGTCACTTTTGGGCTGCCAGTCGACAGACGCAAATATAACTAACTGTTCATGTGCAATCCAACGGTATATAAAAAGCATCACTTATGATGACAATGTAGCTGCTGAGTAGATCCGTCAGTATGTGCGTACCAGAGAGTCACGGGCAATTACTGCTATCCTTGGTGGACTTTGTACATACAGTCCGTTGAGCGCAAAACCCTTACCAAAATAAAAAATGATGGTTGAAGGAAGAAAAAGAAAAATTAGAAAAACAATCAATGACTTCGTCCCTGGGAAGGCTCGAACTTCCAACCTCTCGATTAACAGTCGAACGCGCTAACCAATTGCGCCACAGAGACTTATCCACGATTTCCAACTGCCGGAAAAGTTATTATCCGGACGGCTGGCATCAAGATTGCTCTAGAACCCCTTTATCCAAACGACTTTTCACAAAAACTTCACGCACCTATAGTCGGAACTTTCAGGAGAATCTAATTGACCACGGAGTCCATCTGCCCGGAGTGTAGTCTCCTCCAGATGGCCAGAAAACATTAAAAGAGATGACTGGACTGAGATCAATGAAGATTAGCAGAGCTGCGAGCTTCAGTTTCTCCCTCAAAGTTTTCATTAACGCAGGATGAGGCACCAAACTTCGTTTTATGATACAAAAGGGCCCGGCGGATCACTGGCTGTGGCCACATACACACCAGGCGTGCTATGACAGTGCGTCAGGAGCTCCTGGTAACTATAGTTACAGTCCCTCTCATCTTTACAGACATTGAAGAGTTGGCATTTTGACAACGCTTCACTCTCCTATGTCAACTTGAACATGGCGGCACACTACTCAAGCTGTGCACCATTCATATCACCAAGCCCGAAGGCCCAGGCTGTCATAGGAAAATTATCAAACGGGCAGAGTATAACTAGTTAGTTAACTAGTTAGTTAGTTAATAGTTGTGGATTTTGGCAGCTATATAAAAACAAATAACCCCTTTTCTCACACCACGTTCTTGTATGTCTTTCCACTGCTAATTTACATACAAAACTCGGTTTGGTGGCGTGTTTTAGAGCAACCTAGTTCCGAAATTCGCAAAAACAAGAAATATAAGGAGGAGTGGGCGTTTTGACGTGGTTTTTGGTGGATATATTCTGTTAATCGGCCGAGGTCCGATTCTCCCACGAAGGTTGATCCACGTCTGACAGAAATACTAAGTCTCAAATTTCTTTCTCTTACTTAAACACTCCAGACACTTTTCGGCGAAGGAGTGAGTGTCTGCATACCTGGACGCTTGAGGCTCGAAACAAGAGTAGAGGAACGAATTTGTTAGTTTTCACTAAACCTAGGGTCGGGCCACGATTTGCACCGGTAACTGTGTACACGGTGTTTTGAAGTCATGCTCTTGTCAAATGCGGTCTGCTTTTTTAGTGGGCGATTAGAAGTGGTTGTTTAGTTAATGGTATTCGTTCATTTTAAAGGAGATGATGTATTACAGAGAATGTGAAAGGGGGGGGGCTTTGAGGGGATTATTACCGTATCTAATATACTATTTTTGAAGGGTCTGGATGGGATGGCGGGGATGGATGGATTGCACTAGACTGGAGTTTAAGACGCTTGTAAGGCGGGACCCATAGTTTGTCGAGTTCTAATAGCATGTAGTCTGTCATAGTACATCGTCAAAGTGAGGTTCGAAAAGTCAAGGTACTTTATATGGGTTTTGACTCTGTTATCTACGTGCTCCCAGTCCAGTGGGAACATATGCTTTGTTGTGATTAGTCGATATGCAGCATCACGGGATGATATGAAGTGTCCGGCCAATGGTTCTAATTAGCCTAAACTTACGTAGGGGTCTTTGTCGATCACGTTTTACCCAGGCGGGATGACGATGCTTTACGTTGTGCGTTGAATAACCTAGTAAATGGGTAACTAACTGGCGGTTTAACTAACACCATTATTCACGGTATCCATCGAGACTGATAGAACTCATGTACACTGGTTGATGGCCAGTCGAAATTACACAATGAGCATGTAAGATGCGCAGAATGAGACAGCCGCTAGTCCAACACGGAATATATTGAGAAATGCATATTGACATGGTTAAATGGAAGAGGGTATGTGCACCTTGTTCATCATGACGGGCTAAAATGGAGATAACATGACGCTAAAAAGAAAAACCAGCCAAATCCAAACCCAGTCACTCTCCTACCCATCATTATTGCTGACTAGATGTCATTACTCCCACAAAACAGTAATATACCCAATCCAGCCTTTTCGCATTTTCGGAGTAATCTCGGCTTCAGTAATCTCCTCAAGGCCTGTTTGCAAATCGACATCATAGGGAGAATAGAGCCAGGGTTCATTTCTACTGCAGAAGCGGTGGACCAAGTATATTACCAAAAACACCGGCAGGCCGATGTAAGACGTGCAAAACCCGGCAACTGTCCAGTTGGAAGGGAAGAAGTTCGAAAATCCATTGAGCAGAACGAGAAATGGGAATCCGACGATGCCCGCCCGGGCACCCCAGGGCTGCATGACGGACTTGTACGGCCGCTCGACACCTTGAGCATCGACCGCCTTGCGGAAGCGGAAGTATATGATGCAGCAACACGTCCAACTGATAAATCCGGAAGTATTCGTCAAGCTGACCAGCCACAGGAAGACGGTTGAGCTGTTGTTAGTGACAGTGAGATAGGATAGAAGTGAAAAGAGGGAGCTGGCTATCAGCGCCATGTAGGGGAGACCATAGCGGTTGCAGGTCTTGAAAATGCTGGGCGCATTGCCTGCTACAGCGAGGGAGTAGAGCGATCGAGAGGACATGTAGAGGTAAGAGTTTCCGGAACTCCAGGCGGAGAGGAGGATGGCCGCGTTGATGATCGAGTCCAGCACAGGGATGCCGGCATGTTTTATGCCCAGCACAAATGGTGAAGAGGCCGCACCGTATCCACCATCCTTGAGATCTTTGAGGTTAGAGGGGCAGATGACGCCGATGGCGAGGGCGCCGAAGACGTAGAAGAAGAGGAGACGGTAGAAGAAGCGGCGCGATGCTTGGGGGATGTTGCGGCGGGGGGACTCCATCTCTCCTGCGGTGGTGACAACCAACTCGGGAGCGAAGAGGAATGCGAAGGCACCTAGCACGACAGTTTGAAGAAGCGCGACAAAGCGGCCAGTGTCTCCAGTGAGGATGTGTTCTTTGGCTGCCCCTGGATCCCTCCAATAGTGGAATCCCAACCGCTGTCGCCGCGGCCCGCCTCCCAAGAAGAGAATGAAGGATAGCATGAGCAGGCCGAGCAAAGCGATGACCTTGAGTCCAGCGAACCAGAACTCCGACTCTCCGTACCAGCGGACAGGCAGGGAGTTGAGGGCGATAATCACAACCATGAGGATCGTGATCCAGACTGCGACGTGGACGTCCGGGTGCCAGTATTCAATGACCATTGAAGCCGCTGTAATTTCGTTGGGCACCAAAATACCCATGGAGTACCAGTAGAGATATCCAAGCGCGAAACCCAGGCTTCGGGAACAATATCGGTATGCATAATAGCTCATAGAACCGCCGTGGACGGGGAGGTACGTCGCCACTTCGGAGACCGCCGTGACCACGCCGAAGACCAGAAGACCCATGAAGATGTACGCGGAAAGCAAAAAGGCCGGCCCGCCTGTGTAGAGTGCAAGACCACTTCCAACGAAGAGACCTGTGCCGATTGTGCCTCCAAGGGCCATCATCTGTACATGTCTTGATTTGAGGCCGCGCTGGGTCCTGGCGTACCGCTTGTCCAGCAACTCGGCTTCGACCAGAGCGCGGATGGCATCTCGATTGACATCTCCCTTCTCGGGAGCTGGGGAAGTGCCCTTACCCTCATCCCCAATGTGAATTCGTTCTGCATCGCCCATATTGGACGAGATGCTTCCTTTTAGTGCAACCTGAAGACTGGAGAGGTACAAATTCAGTGCATTGGAGTGGATATGTGCGGGATATTCGAACCTTACAATCTGCGCAGAACGAAGGAAAGAGAGACAAGGGAGAAAGGGGAGATCAGAAGAAAGAGGATGACCAACCACACGGAGCGGGATAGAGTGACTGGCAAGAATGAGGAGTTTCATGAAAAGTGGGGATTTGACTGGGTTATTAAGGAGTTTTCGAAACAAGATAATCAGATGCAAGGATCGCTTTTCGCGGGGCCAGAAATCATGAAGCCATTGTTCTGTGTGTAGAAAAACTTGCCAGCGGTCTAAAAAGGAGAATTATCTGGTCAACGCGCCAAACGGACTGATGATGTCTGTCTGTATTGAGAATGTGCTCGCCTCACGCGAGAGTTTAAAAAGGCAATTTTCGCGAGCAGCCATCCTCCCGGCTGGACCCCCAGAAATGTGTATTGCTGTGAATTTCACTTGGGATTGACTAAGAGCAGCAAACCGGGGAAAAAAAGAGACTAGTTAGCTAAGGGAGTTGCAGATCCACAGCTTATTCGCGCAGTGATAAATAATGTGGGGAATATCATCGTAGCAGTCGAGGGAGGCATTGAGCCGAATCATGGTGCGCAATGATATCATTATGAAGCAAACACAAAGAAAGACTAAAGCGCAGTTTTCGGGGAAAAAACGACATATTCCAAACCCGCTTTGATAAGGAGTAACTTTTGAAACGTTTTCCTTCCCCGACACTCTAAACACATTGCTGCCTCCTCTCCACACTTCCAAAATCTTTTTCAATTCTGCCTCCCAAGGGAGACCCTGGGCCCCCCCCCCCCCCAAACCTCCCCCTCCCCTCCTCCGGGGAAGGCCGCTGGAAATTAGGCATCGCTGCCCACCCAAGGTGCTAAGCTTCCGGGAGCCTGCTAGCCAGAGGGCTAATGAAAGCTTAACTAAAGAGGAGCTCTAAATTTGCAGGCTGAGCAGCGTAGTAGCGTCCAAACGGCCCCCACAGAAGAGAAAGCCAACCCACCATGGTTTTAAGCCACTGCCGGAAGCCTATTCAAATTCCGATGTTGTAGTTAACTACGAGTACCGTGGCCCACAAATCCGTTGGTCTGGACATCTTGGTAGTTAATGGATAAAGTTCCTTGTTGTAGATTGACTGCTATTTTTGAGGGTCTCATTTTTGAATGTCAGGGCCAAAGGCAAGAGTTTTCTCTTATTTTTATTGTGTTTTTGTTTATTTATATTACCTGCCATTTATTCACGGGTATGTTGATGAAATGACCAATATTGACATGTTTCCTTGTGGAAAACCTCCTCTGCCAGGTTGGCAGTAGATAAGATAACTACATCAACCAAATCCCGAAGACCTCAGACGTATGATAACTGGCACGAAACAACGCCAGAAAACAACACTCTGAAGGCCGGATTTGTCCTGTCACTGGAGGGCCATTCAAGATCTGGTTTCATTTACGCCCGATTGTGTGCGGGAGTTGTTCAACAGCGAGTATTTCGAAGTGGCCAAATCCAGGAAAAACTGCGTGATTGGGGCGGAAGAGTAACTAAGGTTCTCGTTGAAAGCCAAGCCCATGCAAAGCTGGGGGTTGACTTGGTTGGTGTGGGCCGGGTGGGTTTCGTTACTTCGTAGTTACGCATGACAGATTCAGATCCAGACTCCACAACTACTACACGCCCACTAGATTGCAAGACAATTGAGCTTAATTCACTGAAACACATGAAAAGAGAAGAAACAGTGGAATAATATACGCCTCTTTTAGAGTTGGGTGTCAAGACAAATGAATAAGCCAAGAGTCAGAGAGCTGAAGTTCAATGATTAAGGGATGGCAAATTTTTCAAACCCAGGATCATTAGTTAGTTAGTTACTGTCCAGCCAGAGCGCCGGTGAGAATGAATATACCAGGTTTCTCTGCATATCCTGGAGGCGGAATGTTGGATGGCGAGGCAGGCAACGCGGCTGATGCATAAGTATCTGTTTTTTTTTTTTTTTTTTTTTTTTTTTTTTTTTTTTTTACCAGGTAGCCAGAAGCCTTTATCGAAATTATAAGGGTGCTGACGCTACAGTGACGTCCAGTTAGAAGGAGGACCCTATGAGATGAGAAGGAACTTCATATTTACGCCAGTGCTATATGTTGCATGGAGTCAAGAATGCATATGTGTACTCCGATAAAATAATGAAATGAACGAGGGTGAGAGTCCCTACAAATGTGCATTAACTCAGAGCCGTCGTTAACGTATATGCCGCAAATAAGGTCATACCCCGGAATAAGAAAATCAGTTGACAGGTAAAACGAAAGACAGATGAAGAGAAGCTTTGACAGAAAAGAAGAGAGAGGGATAAATGGAAAGAATATAAAAATAAAAATTAAAGCTCTGGATCCTTCACCAAGTCCACTACCTCAACTCACCCACGTCATCATTCACGATTCTATCACGGTACCTAGACATCTAGGGCTTAAATATTCCACCTAACCACTCCCTGAAACCTCCGATGAATAATACATAATTCGTATATGTCGTAACTAGCAAGTGCTATAAAATCATGTCTTCATCCCACGCATGCATATGCTAGAACCACCCCGCATCCACGCCAAGAAAAACCAGGGGTGTATTAAAATACCGGGCCCCCTCAATCAACCCAACAAGCAACCAAACACTTCACCAATGCCACCGTAACATCCCTCCCAATCTCAATACCCGCCTCATCCGTCCGCCCAGGCACATGCAGAAACACAACACTCCGATTCCTCCGCTCCATATATGCCTGCGCCAAGCTCGTATAGAAGATAAACTCGCAGAGATACCTCCCAGCATCATCGGAGAGGCACAACTCTGCCGTCTGCGGTGCGAAGGATCGCCATGTCTTGAGGAAACGTGCGTCTGGCGGGGACGGAGAGGTCGGTGTCTTGGGTGCGGTTGAGGCAATGGTGGTGGTTATTGTGTTGCGTAGTGTTTGCGTTTGGTCTTGGACTTGGTCTTGTTCGTCTGGTGATGGTGAGGACAAGGGTGGAGCTTTTGTCCTGGCCGTGGTAGTAGTAGTGCTAGTAGTAGTAGTAGTCAATGTGGTGGTTGTGCCACCTCTAGTGCTTGTGATGAAGGTTGAGGTGCTTGAGATATCTCTGGTAGTGTAGACAGCGGTAGCTGCTGATTTCCTCGGAGCAGAACTCTCGTCACCATCATTGGTGGATGTAGTGGATGGACCCGGTCTAAGCACAGCAGGCAACCCGGCCTCTTTCCAGAGAGCTTCGCCCGCCTTGAAGCCAACTTGTTCATCTACATCGGTGATGTTGTAGCCGTCGCGATGGGCCACTGTTTCGACTGTGTAGCACTCACGGGTGGAAGCCATGCCGATATGAATGATAAGATCTGGCGGGCGGCCATCATTGTCTTTCTTGAAGCTTTCAATTATTGTGGGCACGGCGGAGCGAACGGCGGCATAGGAGACGCGGATCGGCTCCGGGTGGATATGGATGCGGGCATAGCAGGTGGGGGAGGTGGGGGAGGCTTGGGGTAGAGTGACTGTTTTGGGCAGGGCTGAAGCGATCAGGTACGAGGGGTTTACGGCGTTGGTTTTGAAAGGCTGTCATTGTAGTTTTGTGTTTGCTAGTCAGACGGGTACGGGATATTTGCGTAGGGTGGGTGTTACGGCGTGGGATATCACCCCACACTACAGAGGGTAGGGTGACACATGGAGGAACACGATAGCTAAAAATTGGGTCTTTCACATACGCCAAAGCCAGTCACCAGCACATTGATATCCTTCACAGAGTCCCTGGTCACGGTAAGGGGATTTGGCACCTGTTCCAGCTCGTCGGACACGAGAGGGCCAAGATCACCCATGTTAAACACGCGAACACTAGAAATATGGCTATAAGGATGGGCTCAATGTAAGTGTAGCAGCAAAAAGCCCTTCGTCGGTGATGCCAATGAATGTGGATAATGGGCATTAATATGGCGAGGCAGGAGATGTGAAGTTGTGTGTGGTGTTGTTTCTGTCGATCCGGGTGGTTAGTTACCGACTGGCTGCCCGGCAAAAGTTGGAGATCCCAGGGTTTGAGGTCCGATTCCCCGCACTTAACTAGTTAACGTTATGTCAACGACATTCATTAGTTAACTAACGGAATTCCCAAGCGAGTCAGCCGCCAAAAACTAGATGAGCTTATTCTTTTAATCTGAATTATCTACACTCAACAACCACTTATTTAAATTAAATTAAATGACACTAGGATTAGGAAAAAACAAGAAAGAGAATATTATTAGTACTAAGAAGCTGCTGTAGAGCTGAGAAACAACGAGTTCAAATTCTCAAAAAGTAGTAGCTGGCGTGCATCTTGTTTCTTTATGTCTGAGAGAACCGCAATTGCTGCACCTCAGTGGCACTCACTCATGAATGTGGCATCGGACCTGGGGCCTCAGGGGCAGGGGATTAAATAACTGCCTGCTCAACAGACTCATCAGATGGAATTACTGTCTCAACAGCTTCTTCTCTAATTATTCCTCCTTCACATTGAATTTGGTATTTAGATCTTTGATGTTTTTGCTTCTCTTTCTTATTTGCACTGAATATATTCTGGTATTACTTCTTCATATTAGTAGCACTAATCAGTGTATGTTCACAGGCCTTGATAATTTGGCCAAATCCTTGTACAAGGCTCTGAGGAGCGTTCTCAAGCCCCTGCTTCATAAGATTCTTGATCTTATTCACCTGCTTCTGCAATTGACAGAAATTGCTAGATGTTTGTAAAATTCAGAATGACTCCGAGTTGTTTGATTAACTGTTTGAAAAAGTAGATGTTTAAAGTTAAACATTTAGTTATTGAATAATTTGATCAAATTCAAATGAGACTATAATAGTGACTTTAAAAACACTTTGAATGATCAAAGTCTTGAAGATCTTTCTATGAGCTGTAGATTAAATATTTTAAAAATTAATCTTCTTAATGATATTAAGCTTAAGTTATTCCTGTTAGATATAAAGGTTGTAAAAGATATGATAAATATATTTTTTTTTCTTTTAAATATAATTAAATTTTAATATAAAATAGTTTATAGAATAAAATAAAATAAATATTAATTCTATATAAATTTATAATTTAATTAATTATTAAAATTAATATTAAGTTTTTAATTATTTAAAAAGTTTAATTTTTTTATAAATTTTAATTAAAAATTATATATAAAAATAGAACTTATAAATTTTTTATTATTAATTTTATATTAATAAAAAATTATATATTTATAATATTTAATAGTAATAATTACTTTAATAATAATAAAAAAATTTATTATAAAGTTAGTTTTATTAAAATTATATATAATTTTTCTATTTAAATTTTATATTTAAATAATATATTTTATGAAAATTTAAATTATTTTTAAATAATTTTAACATTTTTATATTTGATTTAATTATAATTATAACAGTAAAAATAATAATATTAAAATTTTAAATAATACTTAATTAAATTTAATACTTAATTTATTTTTATTTAAATAAAATTAAAATTAAAAATAATTAATAAAAAGATAATTAGTTATATTTTTATAAGTACTAATTATAAAAATATTATTTATTTAATTAAATTTAATATTTATTTAATAAATTTATTTTTCAATTTATTTTGTAAAGTAATATAAAATATACTACATAAATATATAATTATATAAAATTTAATAATTAAAATTATAAAACTAATTATAAAAGTCAATTAAGTATATTATTTTTATTAATATTATAAAAATATTATATATATAGTTATATAATTAATTTAAAAAATAATAATATTTTAAATATTTTTAATCTATATTATTTAAAAATAAAAAAATATAATTAATATAATATAGAATAAAAAATTTATTTTTAATTAAAATTTATATAAAAATTAATTATATTATAAATTTTTTATAATAAATAAGTATCTATTTATTTATTTATATTTATTAATATTACTTTAATAGTATATTATAATTAATATATAAAATAAATAAATAAATATTAAAAATTTTTACTTTAAATTATAAAAGTTATTTTAAATAAAATTTATATAAAATTTATATAAAAATAAATTAAATTTAATAATTAAATTTATTAAAATTTAAACTTAAAAAATTATAATTATAATTAAATAATTTATACAAAAATTAAATATTTAATATATAATTATTAATAAATATATATAACTATATATTTTAAAATAAAATATATTATTTATTATTATTTATTATTTCTATTTTTTTTTATAAATTGATATATATTTTTTTTTATTACAAGTTTATTTTTAAGAATTATTTTATTCTGAAGTAAAATTTTAGAATTATATATTTTAAATTGTTATTATATATCAAACTTGCAAAATTATCAAATTCTAGTTTACAGATATATTAACAAAACACTTGAAGCTTTGTATAATCCTTTAAATCAAATCGTTACATGCTGTCAAATGAAACTGTCACAGGTCACAAGACCTCGCCAAGGTGCGCTTGTGGTACCGCCGCCCCCCCTATATACCTTATGAGTGGTTCCTCCGCGGCTCCGCTGCCCTTCTACACCATATGATATCATAGTGATGACGTTCATACTTCCCTGCTTTTATACGAGATGGCTGCAGAGAACTACGCCGCTGACGACGTCAAGAAGGCGCCCCTATCTCCTCTAATCCGGGTAGGGTGTCATCTGCTCATTCCACAGAAAACAGGAGCCTGATGGAAGCTCCATATAGATGGTTTTCTGACCCCGCTGTTCAGAAGGTCCCCGATTCACTCTTAATATATCTGAGTTGCTGATATACGCATACAATCCTCTATGCAATAGCTTGTACCCCCAATCCTTAATTATCTCTTCTATCCGTAGGCATGTGCTCGACTGCTTCCTTAACTTGAACCACCCATTCGGCTTCCCATTTAACCAACCGTCTCGGCGTCGCCTCGTTACAGAAACTAGATTACTAGTATCTTTTGTTTACATTCCTTCTATATGGATCTATTTCAATTGCTTAAAAATATAATTTATATATTCTGCTCATTAAGCCAAGCAATTGCTTATAAATTAATTATATGTAATTACATATTGTCAATTCTATATATAATTTTAATATTTATATTTTAAGGTGTTGTTAAGATTGATAATGTATAATCAATTATACGGCTAGATCGAGGTCGTTGATGATTAGAGTAGTTACTTAAAATCTATTTTTGTTGCATTTAACCACTTTAAATTTTGAGCATGTTGGGCATGACCACAACCATCCCACAATCCATACACACTGTAGGGTGAGATGTTTATCAAACTGCTCATGTGAAAACACCGAAGCCAAGAATAAGAGCTTTCTCGGAACGGTTTATATCGGCAGTCTCCAATAGAATATAGCATTCAGCGCTTGAGTGGTCTATATACTGGGTTGACTTTAACTCGGTTAGTTAAGCATGAGATAAGAGTGAGTGTATATTATTTCAATATCTCATTGTTCTCACAACAGGCGATACAGTTTGCTGTACATTATCAAATGTTATTTATTAGATTCTATCTATAATTTACGTGTATAACATTATATTAATACCTCCTGACTTCATGCAGTCTGTCTGACCTTAACAGCAGGCCTGATAGTTAGCGAATTCATGATTGTCAACTTCAAAGAAGGGTGTGACTCTCGCATAATAACTAGTAGTTACTGCAGACAGAGCTCGCAACCTTATTTATTTTCTTAAGTTACCTGTGATATTAATATCCTTCTCTCAAAATAGTTTAACTCTAGTCAACCACATCTTACCTCACCTTAAACCATGGTTCATCATATATGATTTCCTCTCTCACTTTGACACCCGTAAACTCTAT